TCCAGTTTCTTCTGTAAGCAGTCCGTCTTCTAAGTAGCTGGTTAGTTCCTGCTCCCTGTTTTTCCCTGGGACGATTGGCTTTTAGAGGTGGATAGGACCTTTAAGTGTATCTTCATCTTATCATATTATCAATAAGAAAAACTTAGATCCAGAGAACAATGATGGTTTGCCCAAAGTATCACAGCAACTTAGTGCAGAGCCCAGGTCTCTGTCTCTTTGTGCCTTTTCTTTCTGTCTGGCGGACCATGCTGCCTCCTGTCACATTTCACTTTATTCAAGGAATTCTGCTTTTTTCTGGTCTCATCCCAAAGCATTTGAGTAAAACCTAGAATCTCACCCATTCTCACTAGTGTTATCCCAGGCATCTGTGGCTCCATTAGATATCAACAGGTTGCAAAATGCCTGTGGAGAACTTGTTTGAGGTTTGGGATCTTAATGCTTCCTGCACACGTTCCTAAATTTACCACTCTCTTCTCTGCACTGCTCCTCCCCACCCATCCCCTTCATGCCACATAGTCTCAGAGTGTCTTCATAAAACAGAAGTCCTAACACGAGTGATATCAAGGCTGGCCCTCGGTTCACGTGTGAGGCCTGCAGGCTCTGGCTATAAACTCTCAGCCTCCTGTAGCCTTTCTCGTGCCTCCCATGATACCCTGTTCTCAAGTTCTTCATTTACAGTGACCAAAAATGAGCCGTAATAGCTTGAGGTGTGACTTCTTCTAATGGCTTTACATTTTGAAGCAACCAAAGCTTTAGTTAAGCCAGAGGACCGAATCTCTAGTGTGTAGAAGGTCTGGGCCACAGTCCTAGCTAGCTCTGTGGCTGACCCGCTGTTAGCTCTCAGGCAGGTGGCTTCACCTTTCTGGAGCTAGTTTCTTCATCTGTAAATGAGAAGGCTAATTGAATAAGATCCGAGGCTCCTTCCAGGGCCAACATGTCTTTGATAACTTGGCCGTTGGGCATGGGACCATGTCTATGTGAAGACCTGTTCTCCTGTGTCAATGGAGACAGGCAGACCCTGTAGGCAGCACGTGAGGGAAACCGTGAAATTAAGTGCGGGCTCTACCATGTCCCATCTATGACTTTGGGCAAGTCACACATTCTCACAGTGTCTATGTCCATTCTTCTCGACTCTATCAGTATTCCCACACCCAGGGTGTTTTGTGAATAATGAATGAAAGTGTTTGACCTTGAACTGCACATGGAAGTGATGACAGTAGTTCCGGTGGCACCTGGGCACCCACACGGAGTAACTGAGAGTCTTCTGTCATTTCAGTAGTGCTGAGGGTGGGACAGACTGGTTTTGTACATGCTGTCCACCTTACTTAGGCCGTGGCTCTGTGCTCCCACTCCTAGTTTTCTGTCTGCTATTGCTCTGTCCCTGTTCCTCCTTCCCACATTCCAGTATTCGAGTGTCATCACAGATCATCCATGTGAATAGCATGTTACTGTTTGGTCAGAAGATAAGCCTCTCTACATTTGGCAGCTTAGCCCATCCCCACCCTGTTCTATCTCACCACACAACACATGCACACATGTATGCACACACACACTTTTTTAGCCCCTCACATCAGCTTTTTGCTAACAGCTAATGAAAATAGTCGATTCTTGCTGAGGTACCTGACTTTCCACCTGATCGCCCATTCTCCCCACCTCCCCAGTGAGGCCACGGACATGTGACATAGGGTATGAGAGGAGACCGAGAACTGGGGATACAGAGATTAATAACATACCTTCCCTGCCTTCAGTCACATTGTAAGGGCTGCAAGAGAAGAGAGTGCAGAGGGCTCCAGAAGTTTCCTGATGTGGCAGGGAGGACAGGGAAAGGCTTAGAAGAGATGATACTTGAGTGACCAATACAGAAGGATGGTGGGAGGTATCTCCCATTTTACCGTTGAGGTAATGACAGAAGTTAAAGGAACAGCCTCACGGTAACAACCAGTCACTGGAGTGGCTAGAATTCACACTCTGAATGTGGCTAGCCTAAGGTTTTGCACCTGGATAAACTGCTGTATGAAAGATAAGCAAGTAATTTGGGGTCATTGCTTTTTATCCGTTGCTTCATAAGACTGCAAATATATGAGTGCTGAAAGTGAAAGAAGCAAATAATTACTTTTCTGTATGTGAAAGAGGCTCTTTTGGGAATAAAACAAAAGCTAGTGTTCAGAATAATCAAAACTTGGACTTTTTGGGGAAACATCTTTTTGCCAGTATGCTAAAAATTGTCAGATATTTTTAACATCTTGTCTGCTAATAGAATGTTATGCACGATGCAAGATTAATGCTGATGTGATTACACTGGTATACTTGGTTAGTACCCTGGGGTTTTTTTCCCTGCTGTTGAAAACTTGTTTTTTTTTCCTTCCTTCCTTTCTTCAATATAAATCAGGTGTAAATGAGCAATGTAGCATATTGTCATTTAATTCAAAGATAACCTGCATGCCTTATACTCCAAAGATGGTAAATTGGTCTCACATATAAAAATATCTTTTTCGGCAGTATATTAAGTGGAAGAAAGCAAATTACCTTGCCAAGACACTAAAATCCATTATTTTGTTTCATCTGTGTAGTTAAAGGTCACCTTAAATTACAGATCACCTAAATTTCAGTTTCAGTCACTCAACGAATATCAATTTCATCTTTACTTGATTCCTGACAGCCTGGAAGAATGCAGATTCATTAAAACGTTATATACACATACTTGAACTCTAAGTCACTTTTTTTTCTCAAACATTTTAATTTTAGTTTTATCTTAATGGCATGGTATTTCTGTGATAGAAAAAAAAATGTCAACAGGCTTTAACTGGGCAAGTTATAGAATTTATGTGGCCTTAACCTCCTTGCAAGTAAAAGGAGGTTTGAGACCTTAATTCCCTTCTTTCTGTAAGATTCTACGACTCATTATTTTGTTTCAAGTTAATGCTCTACCATTAATAAGTTGAAGGTAAATAGAGATTTATTGATGGATCAAGGCTGAAAGAATCATGAAGGAATCTTAATGTGTGCACTTATCACACATTAAGTTATTAGGTGTGACAAATCTGATGGCTTCTTACGTCCTTTTGTTTCTTAGCCAAATGACATCAAAAGTAATCCATCTGCAGGTGTACGTGAATTTCATGAGATTTGACCATAGAATGATAAGAGTGCCAGCCTGTCACACACTCTCCGTTGGCAGACAATAAGTGATGGTTGAAGTTAATTTAGGCATATTTTGATTCACTTGCTGAGTTATAAACCATTTCTAAATGCAAGTCCAAAAAAAATGTTCACAACTAAGGAAGGGGTATGAACGTATACTTATATGGATATGTTTATGGCAGCTTTATTTTTAATAGCTAAAAACTATTAGAAACAACCAAATGTCTTATCAACTGGTGAATGATTGAATAAAATGTGGTACGTTCGTACAGTGGAACACTCCTACCACATAAGACAGAACAAATTACCGATACATGCCACACCGGGGAGAAGTCTCAGAAGCATTATGCTAAATCAAGGACATCAGACCGAAGAGACGACATACTGCATGGTTCCATTTATAGGAAATTCTAGAAAAGGCAAAGCTGTAGGGACAGAAAGCAGTTCAGTTGTTGCCAGGGCCTGTGGGTAAAAGGAAGGCACTGACCAGAATAAGGCACAAGGGTATTTTGGGGGGTGACGAAAATGTTTTACATCATTTCAGTGGTGCTTACATGAGTGTGTACATTTGTCAAAACTCAGCAAATTGTGCCCTTGAAATTGTTGACTTTTATTCAGTATAAATTATACCTCAAAAATTTTTTCTTTTTCAAGTTTTAAATTCCAGTTAGTAAGCATACAGTGTAATATTAATTTCAGGTGTAGAATTTAGGGATTCATCGCTTATGTACAACACCCAGTGCTCATCACAACAAGTGCCCTCCTTAATACCCATCACCCTTTTAACCCATCCCCCTCCAACCTCCCCTCCAGCAACCCTGAGTTTGTTCCTATGGTTAAGAGTCTGTTTTATGGTTTGCCTCTCTCTCTCTCTCTCTCTCTGTCTTCCCTACTATGTTCATCTGTTTTGCTTCTTAAATTCCACATATGAATGAAATCATATGGTGTTTATCTTTCTCTGACTTATTTCACTTCGCATAGTACACTCTAATGCCATCCTCGTTACAGATGACAAGATTTCATTCTTTTTATGGCTGAGTAATATTCCATTGTTTGTATATATATATATATATATATATATATATATATATACACACACACACACACACACATACACACATATATACATATGCATATATATATATACATACACATGCATATATACATATGTATGTGTATATATGTGTACACACACACACAAACCACATCTACTTTATCCATTCATCAGTCAATGGACATTTGGATTCCTTCCATAATTTAGCTACTGTTGATAGTGCTGCTATAAACGTCAGGGTACATGTGCCCCTTCGAATATGTATTTTTGTATCCTTTGGGTAAATTTTTATACTTCAAATTTTATTTATTTTTTTTACAAAATTTTTTGAAACTGTTTCTTTTTGAAAGAGAGAAAGAGAGACAGAGCACAAGCGGGGAGGGGCAGAGAGAGGGAGGCACAGAATCTGAAACAGGTTCCAGGCTCTGAGCTGCCAGGGCAGAGCCTGCTGCAAGACCCAAAACCACGAACCATGAGGTCATGACCTGAGCCAAAGTCGGACCGTTAACTGACTGAGCCACCCAGGCACCCCTATATCTCAAATTTTAAAACAAACAAACCTAGGGAAGTATCTTGAATGACTTACAAAATGAACCTCAGTTGGGGAAATAATCATTTTTAAACTTTGAACTTTGAAAGCTTATTTGTGATTAACAGTAAAAGATACTAACAGTATTTATTTTTGTGATGAATCTATACAAAATTTTGACCCCAAAATGTGTTTGCATAGAAAATGATAAATGTTCAGCTTGCTTTAATATCTCACTGCATTTTTGCTTTCTCTTTACCTCTCTGCCCAACCTAGAAAAACTAATTGAGGGACTCAAATCTCCTGACACTTCTCTCCTGCTCCCTGACCTCTTGCCTATGACAGACCCTTTTGGTAGCACTTCCGATGCTGTAATTGGTAAAGTCATCATCTCTGTTTCTTCAGCCCTGCATGATCTATGTGTCTGTTTCGAGAATGATAACTACCTGGTTAACAGATCCCTATTGAATGGCCCTGCTGGGGAGTGGAAATGCCACAAAGCCTCCTTTAATCTCATTTATTATCGCCCCAAATGAAGTGTTTTCCCTGCTTTTCCAGGGGCACCACACTGTTATTTTTGCTTTGCTTGATAGCCTGAGATTTCCAAAAGGAATTTCTTATGAATGAGGAGGAATGGAAAAATTCACATTTAATTACAGAAGCTTGATGAAAGAAGTTGCTTTCAAGCTGGGACCTTACCTTTAGCAGATTCTTCCTTAGAAGGCCTCTGTATGTGCCCCGTATCAGAAACAGAAAACACTTGCCCAGTGGTGAAGCCCCATGAGTAGAGTCTGGGACAGGGGCTTAGTCTGCTCAGTTTGGTATTTCCCTGTGCTTCTACAGCAAGGCAGGTATGAACTACAAGATGTGCAGGGCCCCTGTACTCCAGGGCACATAGTCCTTGAACCCAGGAAAGCCATGACCCTGTAGAGATGGGCCTTCAGCTGCGGGATGTGACACAGTGCAGAATACCTCCCGGCCACATCATGGGGTGGCATTTCAAATGGACTAGTTACCTTCGCCAGGCACAGAGGATGTCTGCCCCCAAGTTTATCCCTTAAGAAAAGCAAAATTACCAGAAGATACTATGGTGCCTTTCAGCCTATGTCTTCTGACATGGAAGAAATCTGCTGGGTGACTCGTGTTCTACATTTATCTGTAAAAACTGAAACTCACCAAGACTAGTTATAGTGGTTAACCTTGCACATGCCTGCTCAATCAGTGAAGCCCAGACACTCAAAGCAGCAGAAATAAAGTAACTTACTGTGCTGTCCATCTTGCCCGAGACTGGCATTTTAGACACCTGTAGAAGGAAGCCTTCACAGAATTGTCTGAAGAACGTTTTGACTCCTTTTCCCTTACCGTCTGTTCTCCTTTCTTAATGCTCGGTCACAAAAGAAAAAGCCGATGTTGCTGTTGAGAGTCTCATACCGGGACTGGAGCCCCCGGTACCCCAGCGCCTTCCATCCCAGACGGAATCTGTGACCTCGAACCGCACAGGTCAGTCAGGTGTCCTGCAGCTGCAGGGACTGGTCATTGTTGTGGCCCTCGGAGCCAGCCTTTCCACCTGTAGCAGATGATCCTGGGCTTAGTTTGCAGCCTGGTTAGTTCCTCCTAGAATGGATGCTCTGTATGGTTACAGCCCCAGCTTCTCGCTGTTTAGTGACGTGTTTCCTTGCTAAAGAGCAGAGTGCTTTTTGGAGCCATGTTCTTTATAGAGTGGTCCTTGGGCTTTCTCTGGTTACAGTGTTTATTTATTCAAGATTCTTTTCACTGGTGGCAGGTTCCCTCCACCTCCTTCCCCAAAGAATTCTGTTGAGCTACAAGGATGGCCTTAACTCCTCTAAGGTGTCTGTTCAGTCTTTCTATACAACCGTGTCAGTGACTTCACGGAGCTACTGCTCTGTGTGTTGACATTCTGTCCTCAGCACAGTGCTTTAATCCTGGATAGCTGGTTTGCTGTTAAATTGTAGGCAGAGTTGAAATCTTCCCCTGGATTCAGCATTGCTTTCTCCCGAATTTCAAAATTCGCTCTTAATAGAATTCCTCAACTGCCCATAAACACGGAGTTGATAACCTGCATTTTTATCGAGTCCATAGTCAACCTTGGTAAAAGAGTCTGATTTTCTAACTTGGAACAGAAACCATTGGAAGTCTAGGAACTGTGAAAATAAACTTACATTTAAGTGGAAAGAAAATGAACATAAAAGATAATGCGGTTCCTTTCTCTTGTGCGTACTTGACTGTTTTCTCTTAGAAAACTTTCCCAGAGAACAATTTGTATGTGAAAATACTTGAACTCTGAATTTTGCCTTCCTTCTGTTCCTTAACTAAAAGTGAAAGTCATGTGTCCAGAGGAGCAATTCAAATTTAAAGAATACTAGTAAGAAGCAAGATTGTTTTGTTTCAAATGGGGATCTAGTTGAGTTCTAGAAAGTATTGTTTAACCGTGTCATATTCTGCTAATAATAAGTCAGGGACAATCCCCTCCTAGTCAACTTAGATACTTCATCCTATAGTACCTTTTCCCATAAATGTTTAGGGAAAGTTTAAATGAAACTCTTTAGTTGCAAAGTCCTTTTTCCCAAATAGCATTTGCTGAGAACTAAGTTGCTAAAGTTTTATTGGCATCCAAATCACATACTTGCTTACCCAGCAACCTCTGAGCAAAGAATTATTCCATATTTATATGTTAATGTTAAGAGAATCTAGAAATATATCTTACTATAGATGAAAATTCGGCGGGCTTAATATGTTACTTTTGGTTTTCTTTTCTCGCCTTGGCTTATATGTATAACATGTAAATGCCGTAACTTAAAGGCTAAGATCTAATCTCATGGTATTGTGTGTGCCATTTAATGCCATCACTGACCTGGGATGCTGTTAATCTGGACTCAGATTCTCTCGCCGGGGAAGATTCCCTGATTGATTGCTCCTTGCTTTCTAACCCTACTACTGACCTGCTGGAAGAGTTTGCCCCCATAGCGATATCCGCTCCAGCCCATAAAGGTAAATGCTTTCCTGTCCTCTGGGGCACGTGTATCCTTAAAGGAGATCTGAATGATTTCTGAGAATTTTTCTTACCAAAAGTCTTTGGCAGTGAAGTTTTTTAGCCCCCTCCTCTATATGGAAAACTTGAGTTTGTACTCTTAGCCTCTGTGTTAGAATCCCTCTCAAGAAGAGTACCTAATAAGGCTTAGACAACAGGTTGGTGTAGGCATTGCTTTCTGGCAGTCTCCTGGAATGCACATAGTCCATGGTCTCCATTAAAGGCAGAGCTACATACCTTTGCAGTCCGCGCATATAGCTGGTTGCGTTGACTATCCACTGACTCCCTTTTATTATTAATTAATACGATACTTGTTAGCCTGAGACCTTAAAATTGTTTCATCAAATCCGATTTAAAGTTTTTGAGTAGGGATTGCTATGTTAAAGAAGCAGGCCAAGTCCTCAAAGTCAGTCTTCAAAGATTGAACTTATAAAAGTTTCGAATTTTGAGTCATGATTGGTTACTAGATTTCTCTTTCTGATCTACCATTTTCACTTCTTACTCTGGGGTTAATACTGGTGTGAAATGCTCCTGGACAGAAGTAGCTTGAATTGGGCTCTCTTCAGTGAGTTGTTCGTAGAAGTGAGAGGCACAGAGCCTGGCTTACTCTATGCAGGCATTCACTAACCTTCTTTCTGTACTTGGGTAGTGAAATTGGTTTTCTGGAAGGAGCACATATATAGAAGAGGAACAATGTAAGTTTCTTCTGAAGGAAATTCAAGAAGTAAGCCTCCCTGAGATGACTAAAAAACAGTTAGTTTGGGGCTCTCAGGTGTCTTAGTCAGTTAAGTGTCCAACTCTTGATAACAGCTCAGGTGTTGATCGCAAAGCTGTGGTTCAAGCCCCTTATTGGGCTTCACGCTGGGCATACAGCCTACTTAAAAAACAAAACAAAACAAAACAAAATTAGTTTATGGTTTGCAGTGGTAAGAGCTGAGGTTTTGTTTTTACCCTTGACAACATTAAAATGATTATGTTTTTATAGAGTATGTGTTTTTAACCAATTATGTCTGGCAGGAGTGTGTCAGCGGTAATGTGTAATTACAGAGAAGCATCATTTGCAGAATAGGTGCTCAGCTAGCGCTTGTGCTGGTAGGATAGTCTTTATCAAAGTGGAGAAGGATATCTGACAGACTTCTGCTTGAAATCTGCATGTGATCTTGGGCCCCAACATTCCCTGAGGCATCAGAGTTGTCGGAAAGTCTTTCTTCCCGATCATAGGACAGCAAGTCTTTTCAGAAAGATTTTGTTTGCCTTGCATACAGCAGTTACTACTAATTACCTCCCCCCTGCCCCTAGCTTTGAGTTTCTTGAATATTGTTTGTTAGTCAGGCCCCTGTTTGCTCAATAAGGAAGATAAATGACTAATTCCTGTGCCTTTGTGAATTACTGACGTTGAAGAGAGATTTCACAATAACCACAATTAAAGGTCTTAAAATGGTAGTAGAGATCATTCTATAACCCTTCTCCCTAATCATTTATGAAAGTCTTAACATGGCCAGCCTGAAACCATTTTTTTTCTGTTTCCCTATTTTTCAGTTTTGCTACCTTTGTTTCCACTCATGAAAATAAGCATTTTCATCTTCAAAAACAACAGTGATTGTATAGGTGGAACTTTATGCCTCTGACATGTTCTCTCATTTGCTAATCTCTGCCTCTGTTGTTTCTGCTTGTGTACTTGCATTCTGTATTAAGCTGCAGAAGATAGTAATCTCATCTCAGGTTTTGATGTCCCTGAGGGCTCGGACAAGGTGGCAGAAGATGAGTTTGACCCTATTCCTGTATTGATAACCAAAAACCCACAAGGTAAGAAAGAGAGAATGGGGGAAAGAGAAGAACTTGGCATCACAGCTGTTTACAAAATAGTAATGTGCCTAATCTGCAAGAGGGAAGAAAGCATCAACACTTAGTGAAGGGAACTGGGGTAATGACAGGCCTTGGGGCTGGACCAGTATAAGATAGAGACACAGATACAGATGGAGATGTAGTTACCTTAAAACGTCACTGTGGTGTTTATTCAGAGAGAAGAAAAGTATTTAACTCTTTGACTAAAACCCGGTTTTACAAAGTATCAAGCCAAAAATAAAGTGACCTTTAGTCAGTAGAAACCTGAAGTCATATATACATATATTAAAAAAAAAAAAAAAGCACTGAAATTTTTTAGCATGATTTGAATAATCTATAATAAATATTCTTCCCAAAGAGATTAAGCATGGTGCTTTGATATCATTTGTATCTTTTGGACATTTGTGGAGCATCTTTTTTCCTCTTTGATGGATTATAACCATTTGAATGTGCCATGAGACACTGAATTACCATGGGACCATCTCTATATTTCTTAAAGCACGTTTCTATCGCAGTGGTCTTAATAACAGATTTTTCCCCAAAGCAACAGCTGTTGATTTTTACTTTATCAGGGAGATGAGTCGACATCATGAGGAAGTTAGTGTACAGCCAGCAGTTCTCAGGCAAAATGTATAGGCATTTGAAAACAGCATCCTCTCTGCAAGGTGTTCTGCCTGTGGTATGGTGTGCACACAGTGCCTGAAGTTCTGGTGGGAGGTGGTGCATATCCGACTCATATGTTTAAAAATCAACACGTAAGAGTTTGCAGAGGTAAATTGTTGCTTCTCCAGGGTTTTGTTTTGTTTCTCCTTTGCTTGCTCTGCACATCTAAACCTTAACCCTCTGTGTTTTGTACTGAACTCCTATTTCTCCACTTCCAGGTGGGCACTCTAGAAACAGCAGTGGGAGCTCTGAGTCCAGTCTTCCCAACCTAGCCAGGTCTTTACTGCTGGTGGATCAGCTCATAGACCTGTAGCCGTGACCCAGTAGCAGATGCAGTTCTGTAACCTTCATACCGTAATATACATTTTCATTACGGAGTTATAAGAAAAATGATTTTTTAAAAAATCTGCTAATAAGGGGCCCTCCAGCCCTTATCTCCTACCCCTTGCCTTCTCCTGTAGAAATGATAAGGAAAGAAAATCACTTTGGCCCTCCAGATATTCCTTGGCCAGTTCCTCCCTGTTAGTTTGCTGTGTTTTCTCATTACCCCTCTTCAATAGCATTATCTTAAATCAAGCGCTAGATGCCATGAGCTTCACCTCTGCTGGAATCAACTCCACCAAAAGCTTAACTGTAACTGAAACTAGTGAACTGACACCTTTGTCTCATTCTTGCTAGGAATGGCCTCCCACACCAGTCCTCCCAACCCCTGTCTCCTTTGGCCAGATGCTGATGAATGTGTTTCTCTGTTTTTGCTTTTTACGCTGCTGCATTATCATGAGGACATGGCTTCTTCAGTTGGTCTTAACTCTAGGCAGTAGCCTGGAGATGAGTGTGTGATTTAAGAGAGGGTAAAACTGACTGACGGATGGGATATGTTTGAAAAGAGAAATTGAGCCCAGCTCTAGCCAACCAGCTTTGACCTTGTTTGATCATAGACTTAGCCAAGGGATTTTACACCCCATGCAACCTGCCCAGCATTCATCCAGCATTCTGGCTTCCATTGAACCGTGATTTCTCAGATCTGGAGACGTGACTGCAAGTACTTGAGATCCTTGGATAAAATGTGTACATTATATAAAACCCAAGTATTGCCATTCCTTTTCATGTTAACTGTCCCAAGCCGGGATCTCAGAATTAGACCAAAACAAGACAATGGTGGTAATATGATACCTTTTATTAGAAGACTTTTCACTGGGGGGTGGATGGGGGAGGGGAAGGAATTGTAGCAGAAACAGATGTATTTTTCTTGTGATTTTTATTTTGAATCAAATATTGTAAATTGTGTATAAATGAAGACGCTGAATAGTTCTGTTTCCACTTGGCGTTTCAAGTCTGATATCAGGTGTCTGTACAGGGTTTTGACCTCTTTCCCTTGTATAACTACACAGCAATCCTACAGTGTAACATATGGAATCATTTTGAGTAGACTTGTGTGTTGCTTTAAGCTTTCAGCAGGTCCTCTGTCTTTGTAGAATAAGCATGTTGTTTATTTTCAGATAATCAGAAATAAGTGTGCCTACAAGCTGGGCACAATTTGACTCTGGCTACTTACCTTTCTTTCTCTCTGATGTTGGAACTGAAGGATGCAGCCAATGAAATATGTTCAGTTGGTTTTCCTTGGCTTCCTAGATTAAAAAACAAAACAAAGCGTAGTTCCTCACTAACCTTAGAATATTGTTCATAAAATAAATAAAGGACCCTGCACTGACATGACAACATGCCTCATGGTCACCCTCTGTATATGTACTTACTCATTGAAGTGTATCTTTTTTTCCTTACATAGAAAGCAATTTTATAAAATTGCCCTTTTGAAAAAGAGGTGGGCACAGAGCAACCCACTGTGGTTCTCTTCCTCGAGTGCCGTTTTCCATGATCAGAAGGGAAACTCTTAGTTGATCAGATTTGTACAAATAAAATTCCAAGCCCACTTGCCTGTTTCTCTATCT